CCTAAAAATAAGGAACAGATCAACGCAAAAGATTATGTGTACTGTTTTCATGATAGGCATGGAAACTCAATTATTTTTAATAGTTTTACTCTCATCTACAGAAATCCTTGTTTTGGTTTTTTATAAGCAGGCTATGTGTGCTCGCATTTCTTACTGACAAATACACATAATATCAGTTTTAATCAGTCCATCTGTGTTCAAGATCAAATTCATTTAATTTCTGCTTAATTTTTTTGTTTTAATGGGCTATTTCGAACGAAGAATTCATTGGTTTGCTCCTTCTTAAATAAATAGAAGATTAAAAAAAATCGAATGAGTGTGCTCGATTGCATATTGCACTTAATTTTTGAGTAGTGTTTGAGACAATCAGTAAAGCTTGTATAAAACCACTATTCACCCTATTTCTTATAAGGCGATGAAGATAACTGGTAGTTGCACTTTTCTACAATTATCTGATTACGCCTCATTTTTCCATAGAAATTTCACATTTCATTGCTTCCTCAAAGACATTATACTCTTGGATGGACTCTAGTTTCCACCTCGCTTAGGTCTCATCAGCACCCCCAACAGGATTTGAACCTGGGTTGCGAAACGTATAGTCTTAACATGTTAACCACTAATCTACGCTGTCACTTCAGTTTACTGGCGCCTAATAGTTTATAAAATAAATTGGAGTATATTATATTAATATATTAGATGTATTCATTTTATCTCGTTTAAGGTGATAAAGGACTGGCATTCGAATTTTTCACAATGATATGAGTAGAGCTGACGAAATAGGGTTACTACATCTCATATAACTTATTTTCCGGTACTCTTAAAATTCTGCTTCTTAACGGAAAAATATTATATATTATATTATATTAAAATCTTGTTTAGATTGCTTTTAACTATCCAAATTGAAGTAAACTAATCATGTTCTTTTTTTCAGTGCAAATTTGCTTTTTCCCTTCTTTAGCTCTAGCTTTATGCATCAGTGATCACTTTGTCTAGATTTTGGCAAATTCGCATGCTTTGAAATCTTGTTAATCTTGACTATCCAAGCCTCACATTCTGCACTTTTGATCATCATTATTTCCCTGCTGAGTGGCTTCATTAGTCCCTCTTTTACCAATAGAACTTTTTACATAAACAAGACCTTGTAGTTCACTTAATGTGACGCATTGCTTTATCTTGCCTCAACTTCAGTCCTATGCTCATTAGGACACAATATATCTCTTTCTATATAAATTATGTAATTTAGTCAATTTAATTTTAAACAAATGGAAAGAGCATGGATGAATGAATAAATTAAAGAATTCTATTAGCAAAGAAGCTAGAGATTGTTTAAATTTTAAAAAATATCTTCAATGCAAAGGTTTGTTTAGTCTGTGTGATAGCCACGTTCTTCCTTTTGGAAAAGGGGAAAACTTATCTTATTTTGCCGATGACTTTGAGTGCATAGTTATTCTAGAATTGCTGGTCTATCCTGAATAATGGCATTTTAAGCCACTTTGATATTCATTCGCCTCAACCGTTTGCTTTATTTTGTTTTGCATCATGACAACAAGTCTTCTAACTTACACGTGACCGAACTTATACTTGAAATTCGCTATCTATTTTAAAGCAAATTATGCAATGGACTAGAGACTAAAGCTATGCTGGATTGCATCTTCTAAAGTCATCCATATTTCATTTGTATTTATTGCGGGCTTCTCGATTAGGCATTCATGTATTTGCCATTATAAGGATGACACTACTTATATTCTGAGTAAGTATGTTTCGAATTATTTAATACATCTTGAATAAGGACTTGGTCACCCTAGAATGCCGGAAGTGGCGGAGTTTTATCGTGTTGCTACAATATTGGACTTGTTTTCAAACCTGTTGGGGGCGTGGGTGGGTGAAGCAAGGTCGAAACTCTTGTCCATCCTTGGATGCTAATACTTTTTTGGACTGCGAGGTCTGCTTTTATCACTTTATAACTTCAGCTAACGGCCATTAAGCAGCCCAGAATAACTGAGTTCTTATTCCAGAGCTAGTTATAGTCTCGAAACAGGCACATTTACACATTTATCATGAATCTAAAATGTTTCAGAACTCCCTTTATCTTTTTAAGGACATCAATTGATGATTGTTCTGGTCTCTTAGACAGCGTTTTGAGTCTGATTTGCTTGATTGAAGATATGAAGACCAAGTTATTGTGGCCTCTGGTATGGTCGCAGTCTCCTTTCGATTTATAGAAGTGGGTTGACCTCGTTGTCGCAACTTGGTCTTGTGTTCAGGGTGACTATGTAGAACGCACCTAGTCCGAAGTCGTCTGCCAGAGTAGTTGTTATGATTCCCAGCATCAGACAGTGAACTTGGTACATTCTCAAACGTTTCGCCAGCATCGTAGTCGGCATTATCAGTCAGTTTTGCCATTCGCCGCACCAACCTATGAACTCGTCAAAGAGACAAGTGAAGTCAATCCCTTGACAACCGTTCTGCTTAAAACGGTTACATTATCACTCCTCTTTCTGTTATGGCCTATCTATCCACTCTTTACCCTCTTCTCCCACTGCCGCCCTATCACAACTTCTCACTTGTTTACATTTCACTCGTCAAAATGTGTGCCATTTTGTAGCAATTCTAGTGTGGCCCCATGCTATCTACCTCGACTTATCTCTTTCGATCGACTGATCCGACTCGGGCCTCCAATCCGGATCCATTCATTGTCTCGTGGATCCGTTCCTTCTCTTTCTGGTTGACCGATTTCACT